TCCCTCACAATATAACAACCCAAAGAGCTTTTCAGAAGAAAAGCTTCTGAGATGATGAAGCTAATTTGGCTCGGTGCGCCGGTATTTATCTGAGCGCACACTACAAAACTTATAAATACATTTTATTAGGGTTAGACTCAGAGAGTTAAACAGTTCAAGTCGTCTTGTACTGTGCTTGTAAATCCTTCACAGCCCTCAAAGTAGTGATAATGAATGCTTATTTAAATTAAAAGTTCAGCCTTGGCAGAGGGAACTCAAGATCGGTGTCCAACATCATGATGATGATGTGAACTATTCAATCTTATCTGACTCTTATCAGATTCTATGGGTGTCAAGAGTGAAACATTGGCAGCTATGTGCCTTTTCGTTTCAACTTATCCTTAGAGTAAAGGGGAGGAGGTGTTGATTAGGAACGGATTAGTTTGGCGAAACGAAACTTTTACTGTTCCACTGAAGCTTGTGAAAATCTGGAAACTTTTCAAGGACATCTTAACAGGTGTGAAGAAAAAGGCAGATGGTTCCCGCAACAAAGATAACTTTGTTATCTGGAATGAGCTGCCCCCGGAGATTCGTCGGATTCCCGACCTGCGTACCTTTTGTCGCGCCCTAAAAACATTATTATTCCAACAAGCAGGGCTGGCCTAAATAATAATAATATTTTACTATTTTAATGGGTTGTTTTATTAGAGTTCTCGGCCAATTTATTTAATTGTTTTAAATTGCTTTTAATTTTTATATTGTCATGGTTTTATTTCTGGCTGTACACCGCCAGAAATAACCGGTTCGGTGAGCGCGCGCTTCGTGCTGAAAATGGAGCATTAAGAAGCTCAGCTGCTTACCTTCCAAGTCAGCAACGGTAAGTAGAACAGCGGGGGGGAGGGGAAATCAGCAATGCCGCGTAATTGAGATGAGCTAGAAAGCAGGAAATAAAGGACAGGATAGGGTGGGGGCAGGTAGGCGGGGGCAGCTGATTGTTGGAGCTACTGGTTCGCCCAAACTGGTCTGAACCGGTTGAATTCCACCTCTGATTTTAACCACTGGGACACCACGGCTCTACAATCTAGGACCGTTGGATTGAATGACATTTCCCATGAGGATAACCACGTACTTCCAGGTGATATCAACAGTGATAAATGCAGAAACCTTTCCCACCTACTCTGTTCTGACACCTGATATTCAGTACAAGGGTCTGTGCAAATAACCTTGGGAGACAGGAAAAGGAGACTCCGCCTCTCTCCCAAAGTGATTCTCATAGGCCATTACATCTAGTGATCCTAGAACAATAAACCAGAGATTCTGCAATCGGTGCTAGACTCTAATCCAGAGCCAGCATGGATGGGGAAGATTATCCTGTAGATTTCATCTGGTCTTGCATAGACAGTAAATCCAACTCAATTTACTGGCGAGAATCAGGCCAGCTGGATGTCTCCACGACAGCAAAGATGGTCTTGCAGTGAGATTGAAGGCCAAATGGCATTTTTGGTCAGCCAAATCTCTCTGGATAAAAGAGAGAGCATGAGATTGCTCAGACGTGCTCCAGACAGCTGCTCCTCATGAGTAAACAACTGCAGAATATTTTCTATGGTCAGCTTGTGAGTGGAGCATCACAAATCAAAGGGCTTCCATCTAAGTTCACAATCACAAAACTCAGCCAATCCTTTTTTTTTTTTTTTTTAATTTGATTTATATGCCGCCCTTCTCCGGAGACTCAGGGCGGCTTACAGTGCGTTAAGCAATAGCCTTCATACTTTTGTATATTTATACAAAGTCAGCTTATTGCCCCCACAACTGGGTCCTCATTTAACCTACCTTAGAAAGGATGGAAGGCTGAGTCAACCTTGAGCCTTGGAGAGATTCGAACCAGCAGTAAATTGCAGGCAGCTGTGTTAATAACAGGGTGCTTTAAACCACTGTAGTACCAAGGCTCTTCTTAAATCGTTCTTGGAACTAGCTTTTTAACGGCTTTTCAATTATTAAGAAACTACCAACTGACAAAATCGATAACATACAATGGGTGAATTCTGTGTAAGGTTTAAGTTAAAGAGAAGTTTAAGGATATGTGTGTGTGTCTGTGTGTGGTTAAGTATGTGTATGTGTTTTTCTGTAAGCATATGTATGTGTGTGTATATTTATTTATTTATTTATTTATTTATTTATTTATTTATTTATTTATTTATTTATTTATTTTCCCACCTACTCTGTTCTGACACCTGATATTCAGTACAAGGGTCTGTGCAAATAACCTTGGGAGACAGGAAAAGGAGACTCCGCCTCTCTCCCAAAGTGATTCTCATAGGCCATTACATCTAGTGATCCTAGAACAATAAACCAGAGATTCTGCAATCGGTGCTAGACTCTAATCCAGAGCCAGCATGGATGGGGAAGATTATCCTGTAGATTTCATCTGGTCTTGCATAGACAGTAAATCCAACTCAATTTACTGGCGAGAATCAGGCCAGCTGGATGTCTCCACGACAGCAAAGATGGCCTTGCAGTGAGATTGAAGGCCAAATGGCATTTTTGGTCAGCCAAATCTCTCTGGATAAAAGAGAGAGCATGAGATTGCTCAGACGTGCTCCAGACAGCTGCTCCTCATGAGTAAACAACTGCAGAATATTTTCTATGGTCAGCTTGTGAGTGGAGCATCACAAATCAAAGGGCTTCCATCTAAGTTCACAATCACAAAACTCAGCCAATCCTTTTTTTTTTTTTTTTAATTTGATTTATATGCCGCCCTTCTCCGGAGACTCAGGGCGGCTTACAGTGCGTTAAGCAATAGCCTTCATACTTTTGTATATTTATACAAAGTCAGCTTATTGCCCCACAACTGGGTCCTCATTTAACCTACCTTAGAAAGGATGGAAGGCTGAGTCAACCTTGAGCCTTGGAGAGATTCGAACCAGCAGTAAATTGCAGGCAGCTGTGTTAATAACAGGGTGCTTTAAACCACTGTAGTACCAAGGCTCTTCTTAAATCGTTCTTGGAACTAGCTTTTTAACGGCTTTTCAATTATTAAGAAACTACCAACTGACAAAATCGATAACATACAATGGGTGAATTCTGTGTAAGGTTTAAGTTAAAGAGAAGTTTAAGGATATGTGTGTGTGTCTGTGTGTGGTTAAGTATGTGTATGTGTTTTTCTGTAAGCATATGTATGTGTGTGTATATTTATTTATTTATTTATTTATTTATTTATTTATTTATTTATTTATTTATTTATTTATTTATTTATTTATTTATTTATTTATTTATTTATTGGTTCTATTTATATGCCGCCCTTCTCCGGAGACTCAGGGCGGCTTACAATGCGTTAAGCAATAGCCTTCATTCTTTTGTATATACCTGCTTACTAGGGCTTTCCCCCCCCCCCCAAGCGGTGTTCTTTTTATACAAAGTCAGCTTATTGCTCCCACAATCCAGGTCTCATTTTACCTACCTCGGAAGGATGGAAGGCTGAGTCAACCTTGAGCCTGGTGAGATTTGAACTTGCAGTAATTGCAGGCAGCTGGGCAGCTAAGTGCTACTTAACAGCACTTTAGTCTGCTGCGCCACCAAGGCTCTTAAGGTTTGTAATACATATATGTATGTATTACAAACTATTCTAGAAATACGAGTTCCAGGTATATTACTAAAGAAAGAAGCAGACATTCTGCGAGCTCCGGAACTTAAAATTTTAAAATAATGGGAAAATTTTTTTTGTTTTAATTCTACTAAGCTTTCGTCAGCCATCTGCTGACATCGTCAGAGTATTAAACTACCATTACAGAGATCTCTGCCTTTATATGCCATTAATCAATTTGGCTATTGCCCGTGTAATAGACCCTTCCAGCCGTCTCCCACTTGTAATTAACTGTGTTGTTTTTGCTGTCGTCATGCTGGATGATGGAGGCTTAATTCCTACCCTTTCCTCCCTCCTAACCTGCTTATCAGTGGGGGATGATGTTAGCATGTCATGTATATATGTATGTATATGTGTGTGTGTGTGTGTGTATGTGTGTATGTGTATATGTGTATATATATGAATGTATATATATTGTTGGTTTGAGCTCTGAGTTTGGTGATTTGGTTGCAAACATTTTGTGTATGTATGTACTGTATGTATGTATCAGTGGTGGGGTTTCAAAATTTTTTACTACCGGTTTGGTAGGTGTGGCTTGGTGGGCATGGCAAGGGAAGGATACTGTAAAATCTCCATTCCCACCCCACTCCAGGGGAAGGATACTGTAAAATCTCCATTTCCTCCCAATCAGCTGGGACTTGGGAGGCAGAGAATAGATGGGGGCGGGGCCAGTCAGAATTTTTACTACTGGTTCTCTGAACTATTCAAAATTTCTGCTATCGGTTCTCCAGAACTGGTCAGAACCTGCTGAAACCCACCTCTGGCATGTACATATGTATGTATGTATGTATGTATGTATATGTATATACACATATACATGCACAATCACATACACACACACACGCATGCACAAGAAAAAAGGTGATTAGAATGCTGATTTTGGAAAATTATAAACAGATTAGAGATCCAGATGGTTTTGAAATACAATTTTGAAATTGATTGGGGGAATCCTTCCCATGGGAAAAAGATGTTGTTTGGACTTTTTAAACAGAAAATATGATAAGATGGGGATTTGAATTGGACACTAGAGGGAGCCAGAGCAACTAAAGATTACAATTAAAGGAAAAACTGCCTATTCTAGCCCTTGGTGCTTCCCAGAGATGTGTACTTTTAACTCCTACAAACATTTTCCATGCTCCCTCTTCTGCACAACAACATTAAACTAAGCGTACAAGATGTAAACAGCTTTTGGTTGTTTACATCTTGTAAGGAGTTCCCGAGTCCCAGCTGGAGAAAAACAACAACAAAAAAAAGACCACAAAAATGCATCTTGACACCTTTCGTGAAATAAAAGACATTCGGTCCAAAGGCGCTTTGTTGACACGCGGATTGTAAACATCCTCTTGTCAAAGCTAAGCTCTGGGACAGCTGCAATACTTACATAAAACTGTTGAAGTGCCTAATAAGGGTGAAACGACACCAGGAAAGATTTATGATCCCGAACACACGGGTGCAAATTTCAAACAAGGTTTCGGAGAGCTGGAAGCGGTGCAGAAAAAGAAAAAAAAACCCAAGGCACCAGAACGATCGAGGATTTCTTGCAAAGGAAACTTGTTGCCGTCCTGAAAAGCAAAGAGAGGTCAGAGTGAAAAACTTGAAAAACTGGTTTGAAACGCATGGAAGGAGCAGGGGTAATAGAGGTAGCCCACAACCTACGACTGCAACTGAGCCCAAAACTTTGGTTGCTAAGCGAGACAGTCGTTCGGTGGATTTTGCCCTATTGTATGACCTTTCCTGCACAGTTGTTCAGTGAATCACTGCAGCTGATCGGTTAGTAACCCGGTTGTTAAGTGAATCTGGTTTCCCCCATTGACTTTGCTTATCAGAAAGTTGCAAAAGGGAGGTGGTATTCAGCCGGTTCGTACTGGTTTGTGCGAACCGGTAGCAGCGACTGCGGGTGGGCTCGCCCGCCCTGACGTAACACCTTCCTATTTAGGAACATTTCCAAGCCGCGGAAGGCGCGCCCGCGAGCAAAGCACATACGCAGAAGGTCGGGTGCATGCACGGAAGGCGTGCATGCACGCAAAGTGAGCGTGCATGCATGGGGCGAACCGGTGGTAAGAATAGGTGGAACCCACTGCTGCACGTGACCCCAGGACATTACGACTGTCATAAATATGAGTCATTTACCAAGTATCTGAATTCGGATCATGTGACCACTGGGATGCTGCAACAGTCATAAGGAGCCTTGGTAGTACAGTGGTTTAATGCACCCTGTTATTAACACAGCTGCCTGCAATTTCTGCAGGTTCGAATCTCGCCAGGCTCAAGGTTGACTCAGCCTTCCATCCTTTCTAAGGTAGGTAAATTGAGGACCCGGATTGTGGGGGCAATAAGCTGACTTTGTATAAATATACAAAAGTATGAAGGCTATTGCTTAACGCATTGTAAGCCACCCTGAGTCTCCGGAGAAGGGCGGCATATAAATCAAATTAAAATAAAAAAAATAAATAAAAATAAAGTGTGAAAAACAGTCATCAGCCCCTTTTTTTCAGTGCCGTTGTAACTTCCAACGGTTACTAAACAAACTGTTGTAAGTTGAGGATTACCTGCAAAAGGATTTTTTTCTTAATTAGAATGCTGGAACCTGGTATGCAAGAAACGTAGTGGAAAATTCATAAACTGTTTCAACTCCTACCCTCAAAACGACGCTATAGAGCACTGCACACCAGAACAACAAGACACAAGGACAGTTTTTTCCCGAACGCCATCACTCTGCTAAACAAACAATTCCCTCCACACTGTCAAATTATTTACTAAGTCTGCACTACTATTAGTCTTCTCATCGTTCCACCACCCATCTCCTTCCACTTATTACTATAACCATGTTGCGTGTATCTTTCAATTTATATTGTTTTTACTTGTTTCCTACTACGATTTGATAGCTTATTAGTAACCTTGACTATCACTAAGTGTCCTATCTTTTTATTCTTGATGAATGTATTTTATTCTCCTTATTGTAATGCTCTCTACATGGGGCTCCCCTTGAAGAGCACTTGGAGGCTCCAACTGGTCCAGAATGTGGCCACGCGGGTGGTTATGGGCGCAACTCGTTGTGCCCGCGTGACACCTCTCCTGCGCGAGCTGCACTGGCTCCCAGTGGTCTTCCGGGAGCGATTCAAGGTGTTGGTTACCACCTTTAAAGCGCTCCGTGGCATAGGACCCGGGTACCTTCGAGACCGTCTTCTGCCACCAATAGCCTCCCACCGACCAGTCCGTTCCCACAGAGAGGGTCTCCTCAGGGTGCCATCGGCCAAGTTATGTCGGCTGGCGACACCCAGGGGGAGGGCCTTCTCTGTGGAAGCCCCAGCCCTGTGGAATGAACTGCCCCCGGAAATACGTAAGATCTCCGACCTCCGGGTGTTTTGCTGCGCACTGAAGACCCTGTTCTTCCGCCAGGCCGGGCTATCAATATAATAATTTTAAATTGGGGTATTTTAATTTTGGGGATTTTAAATCGGCCAAATCTATTTAATTATTTTAATTTTTAATTATTGTTGTGTCCTGTGTTTTTAAATTGGCTGTACACCGCCCTGAGTCCTTCGGGAGAAGGGCGGTATAGAAATAAAATTATTATTATTATTATTATTATTATTATTATTATTATTATTATTATTAATTATTATTATTATTATTATTATTATTATTATTATTATTATTATTATGTACACTGAGAGCATATGCACCTAAGACAAATTTCATGCGTGTCCAATCACACTTGGCCAACAAAGAATTCTATTCTATTCTAAGATGATTAAAGGCCTGGAGACTAAAACATACGAAGAACGGTTGCAGGATTTGGGTCTGGCTAGTCTAGAGAAAAGAAGGACTAGGGGGGGACATGATAGAAGTATTCCAGTATTTGAGGGGCTGCCACGAAGAGGAGGGGGTCAACTTATTTTCCAAAGCACCAGAAGGCAGGACAAGAAACAATGAATGGGAAATAATCAAGGAGAGAAGCAACCTGGAATTAAGGAGAAACTTTCTAACAGAGAAGACAATTAACCAGTGGAACAGCCTGCCACCAGAAATTGTGTGTACTCCATCATTAGAGGCTTTTAAGAAGAGATTGGACAACCATTTGCCTGAAACTGTATAGAGTTTCCTGCTTGAGCAGGGTAGACCTCCAAGGTCCCTTCCATATCTATTCTGATTAAATTCACCCTGCTAAATTCACGATGCTAATTTTGCAAGGGGAAGAAGTCAAAAATCCAGCTGCTTTTTCCATGATTCCTGCTCTTGTACACACCTTTATCCAGGGGGAAAACACAGTAATATATTTCAAGATAGAACCTCGTAAAAGTTTTGTGTCTTACCCAGTATTGCTGAGGGTCAGAAGAAGTATAGGAGATTTTAATATAAAGCACCTGGAAAGTAACCAGGTACGTTATCCACTTTAGGATTTCTCATATCTTTTGAGCACAGCAAACTTCAGTAAAAATTGTAATTGAGGACGTGAGACGGTCTTTCCCTTGGAGCAGAATTTAAAACGATTTAACATACTAAATCAAAGAATCTGGTAAGTTACATAAAGTAGGCCAATTCAGCGTGATTGATATCGTTTCTATAAGGCCTGGATTGGAAAGCAGCCGTTATTATTACAAATGCTTCCAATTTCAATAGACATTGGGCACAAACCCATCTACGGGATTCATGAGGACTACAACCTTGCCAAGTCACAATAAATCAGAATGTTGACTGTCCATGCCGTTATTCCTCAACGGTTTGGGGTTGCAGAATATCAAATAAGGAGTTCTGGAGAAACATCAAGCAGCAACTTTTCAAGGCCATAAATATAGATAAAATAAGCCCATAGGATACAGATGTTGTGAAGTCAGTGCCATGTTGGGATAACAAAACCGTCCTTCCTCCAGCAGACAAAAGGATAAACAATTCACACAAACACACACCCCAAACAAAAATTAAGGTCAAAAGAAAGAAAATATTTTTTTTTATTAGCCTCTCTCTCAAATTTAGCTGGGAGATTTGCTCCTGACTCACCCAAACTCACATTTCTTTTTAAAGCTCAGAGCAATAAAACTATTTTTAATACCACATCTGGGGTTTGCGATTCAAGTTTCTGACATTCACAGAGGAAGCTGCCTAACTTCTATCGGGGGGCTCAGTCCAGGCTTTTTCAGCCTCTGAGGCTTCTGGGAGCCGCAGGCTCGGACTCGCTGGAGGGCCCCACGTTGGAGAAGCAGGCAGGAGCCGACGGAGCAGAAGCAAATAAGTCCTTTATGTCCCAGTTTTGCCCCGTCTTCTACCCACTGTACATCCTTGACATCTTTCATGATTTAGCTGAAAAGCCAGTGTGTTTCATCTTTTTGGGCTACAACATTTTATAGCGCTTGTGGATGCAATTAGATGCCTTCCTTCCTTCCTTCCTTCCTTCCTTCCTTCCTTCCTTCCTTCCTTCCCCTCCCTTCCTTCCTTCCTTCCTTCCCCTCCCTTCCTGCCTTACCATCCTCTCTCTTTTCTCTCTTTCTCTCTCTCTCTTTCCTTTCCTCCCTTACCCTATGCTTGCTTCCTTCTTTCCTTTCTCCCTCCCTCTTCTTTTCCTTCATCCTCCCTCCCTCCCTCCTTTTCTTTTCCTCTCTCCCTTCCTCCCTCCCTCCCTCCTTTTTCATTTCCTTCCTTCCTCCCTCCCTCCCTCTTCTTTTCCTTCCTTCCTCCCTCTTCTTTTCCTTTCTTCCTTCCTTCTTCCCTCCCTCCATTTTCTTTTCCTTCCTTTCTCCCTCCCTCTTCTTTTCCTTCCTTCCTTCCTTCTTCCCTCCCTCCATTTTCTTTTCCTTCCTTTCTCCCTCCCTCTTCTTTTCCTTCCTTCCTTCCTTCCTTCCTTCCTTCCTTCCTTCCTTCCTTCCTTCCTTCCTTCCCCTCCCTTCCTGCCTTCCCATCCTCTCTCTTTTCTCTCTTTCTTTCTCTCTCTTTCCTTTCCTCCCTTACCCTATGCTTGCTTCCTTCCTCCTCCCTCCCTCCCTCCTTTTCTTTTCCTCCCTCCCTTTCTTCCTCCCTCCCTCCCTCCCTCTTCCTTTCCTTCCTCCCTCCCTCCCTCCCTTTTCTTTTCCTTCCTTCCTCCCTCTCTCCCTCTTCTTTTCCTTCCTTCCTTCCTTCCTTCCTTCCTTCCTTCCTTCCTTCCTTCCTCCCTCCCTCCCTCCCTCCCTCCCTCCCTTCCTTCCTTCCTTCCTTCCTTCCTTCCTTCCTTCCCCTTCCTGCCTTCCCACTCTCTTTCTTTTCTCTATCTCTCTCTCTCTCTTTTTCTCTCTTCCCTTTCCTCCCTTTCCCTATGCTTGCTTGCTTCCTCCCTCCATCTCTTCCCTCCTTCCCTTCCCTCCTTTTTGAAGCTAGACGTCGGTCCGCAGAAGAAAAGAAAGACGGTGACTTACCATTCAGAGTATCCTGAAATGAACAAAAGCTGAACTGAAGGAGGAAAAAAAATCCCCCTTAGATCTGAACCTTCGGAGGATCCGGGCTCTCTGAAAGGGAGCCAGAGCAGAGAGACAGGCGTGGGACAGGGAGCTCTGCTCTGTTTCTTTTTCTCTTCTAAATCTAGCCCTGGGAGCAAAGTTAGGTGCTGGGTAGGGCAGAGTCACTGGGAACCAAATAATGCAAAATAAATCAGACTCAAACTCCTCGTCTTTCTTCACTTTTCTAAATGTCTCTGCAAACCGTTGGCCGAGTGCCCCGCTTTGGCTGGGAAATTTATGAAGTGACAGAAAAGCTGCTGAATATTTAAGCCCTCCAACGTGCTTTCAATTATGGTCTTATCTGCAAATGGGCACCCCTTTGCTTTTAAGCAGATCTAACCAAAGCTCTCAGAGATAAGAAAGAAAGAAAAAAGAACAAATAAATATGAATTTAGAAGCACAACATAAAATGTGCAAAAAGACCAGCGAATTCTTAAAAAAAAAAAAAAAGCAAAAATGGTTTCTTGCGGTTCATCCTGTATGCCAAGGGAAGAGTATCTTCATGGATGTGTTAGGAGAATATTCTGTGACACTTCTAGACTCTTGTTCCATAGCAAGGATCTCCAAACTTGGCAACTTTAACAGATTAACAGAGTTGGAAGGGACCTTGTAGGTCATCCAAACCAACCCCCCACCCAAGCAGGAAACCCTGCACCATTTCTGACAGATGGCAGTCCAGTCTCTTCTTGAAAGTCTTAAGTGATGAAGCTCCCACAACTTCTGAAGGCAACTTCTGTTCCAAGGGTTGATTGTTCTCACTGTCAGGAAATTTCTCCTCATTTCTAGGTTGAATCTCTCCTTGATCAGTTTCCATCCATTATTCCTTGTCTGGCCTTCAGGTGCTCTGGAAAATAGCTTGACCCTCTCCTCTCTGTGGCAGCTTCTCAAATATTGGAAGACTGCTATCATGTCACCCTTAGTCCTTCTTTTCATTAAACTTTTGTTGTTGTTAGTTGCAAAGTCGTGTCCGAACCATTGCAACTCCATGTTCCTCCAGGCCTTCCTGTCCTCTACCATCCTCTGGAGTCCATTTAAGCTCACGCCAACTGATTCAGTGACTCCATCTAACCACCTCATTCTCTGCCGTCCCCTTCTTCTTTTGCCCTCCATCGTTCCCAGCATTAGGCTTTTCTTCAGTGAGTCCTTCCTTCTCATTAGGTGGCCAAAGTATTTGAGTTTCATCTTCAGGATCTGGCCTTCTAAAGAGTAATCAGGGTTGATCTCCTCTAGGACTGACCGGTTTGATTGCCTTGCAGTCCAAGGGACTCGCAGGAGTCTTCTCCAGCACCATAGTTCAAAGGCCTCAATTCTTTGACGCTCAGCCTTCCTTATGGTCCAACTTTCACAGCCATCCATTGCAACTGGGAAAACCATAGCCTTGACTATACGCACTTTTCTGTGCCATGGTTATGATAACCATGGCTAAATATCACAGAGATACCAGGAACTTCTGGCCAGCTCCAGATTGCAACCTTCTGCTTAATAACCCAATAAACAATCAGAATTGGTTCTAAATTCGAGGGGGCCAGCTTGATCCAAAAAAATCCTCTGTTTGAAACTGGATTTAGGATTCATGGCAGTCTTCAGCGCAAGAACCCAAGTGTGCAAAAGCATTGTGTATCTCTCTCTCTCTCTCTCTCTCTCTCTCTCTCTCTCCCTCTCTCTCTCTCTCTCTCTCTCTCTCTCTCTCTCCCCCCCCCTCTCTCTGTATGCATTTGTCAATGTTCCGCTTAGTTATAAGGATTGGAAAGAGGAGACTGAGGAAATGTTTCATCTCCTTAAAGTGTTAATGCCACTTTATAATGCCTTGGTAAGGCCACACTTGGAATATTGCATTCAGTTTTGGTTGGCACGATGTAAAAAAGATGTGGAGACCCTAGAAAGAGTGCAGAGAAGAGCAACAGAGATGATTAGGGGACAGGAGGCTAAAACATATGAAGAACGGTTGCAGGAACTGGGTATGTCTAGTTTAATGAAGAGAAGGACTAGGGGAGACAGGATAGCAGTGTTCCAATATCTTAGGGGCTGCCCCAAAGAAAAGGGAGTCAAGCTATTCTCCAAAGCCCCTGAGGGCAGGACAAGAAGCAATGGGTGGAAACTAATCAAGGAGAGAAGCAATTTAGAACTAAGGAGAAGTTTCCTGGCAGTTAGAACAATTAATAAGTGGAACAACTTGCCTGCAGAAGTCGTGAATGCTCCAACACTGGAAATTTTTAAGAAGATGTTGGATAACCATTTGTCTGAAGTGGTGTAGGGTTTCCTGCCTAAGCAGGGGGTTGGACTAGAAGACCTCAAAGTTCCCTTCCAACTCTGTTATTCTATTCTATTCTATTCTATTCTATTCTATTCTATTCTATTCTATCTATTCTATTCTATTCTATTCTTATTCTATTCTATTCTATTCTATTCTATTCTATTCTATTCCTTGAGAACGTGCGATGGTTTCCATCACTGGACAGTTCTTATTAACATGGTGTAGGAAGTTAGCACCCACCCATCTCCTAGGAAAATGAGATATTTTAGAAAATATTAAAAGGGCAGAATATTTCCCCTAAAAACTCAGCCCTCCCACCTTTGTCGATGGGCCATTAAGGCCTGGGCCAGTCTATTCTACATAACAAAAGATCTACCTCCTTCAGGCAGAGCCATAATAGGAATCCCAAAGTCCTTTCATTACATCATCACCCAGCAAGAGTCAACCAAGCTTGGGACTCAAGACAGCCTTCAGAGTTGCCCCTGCATGGCCCCATGGGGGTCTGACAACCAATCAGAATACAAGCTCAAATTCAAAAGCCCAGAGAGGGCATAAAACCGGGACACTCTCAGCATCTCTCCCCCCCTCCCCTCCAGGACCTCAAACCATGTGGTCCTGTCCACCATTAAAAACCATCTTTCCAAGTAGTCTCCATATTTCCAGTGTCTTTCTTCCCCACTTGGAACTGAACCCAGATGGACATTTCTTCCAACAATGGATCAAAGAGTAAACTCTGTGACTCAATCACTGTGGCCTGGCAACCATTGTCTATAATTTAATGTTATGTGGGAACTGGTCAACAAAACACGATTAACCCAAACGTATGTGATATATGGATGCAACTTTTGTCTTATATTCATTTAAATACTGAGTTGCAGCCATAAATGAACGCTAAGGATCCCTGAAGACGCGTGTCAGGTTACGATGTCGTCTCGAATAAATTGCATTTCCAAACAAATAGTCTTTGACGAAATCTTTCATTTATTGAGTACAACGATCTGTCCCCGACTCCATCGTAGCCGACACTGACCCTCTGACCCCAAACCCTTCCATTTCCATTCCCCAATTCTCAGCATCTCATTGGCCACCTTCCAAGTCACTCTCCCCATCTCTACTACTTCAGCTCACAGGAATGTCCCCCCTCCCATCCCATCTCCTAGGGGATATTATCTGCAGGGAAAATAAGTAGGTGAAAAGTCAAGCGTCTTCTTCTTCTCCTTATGTCAGCACTGGAGTGCTGACAATGCGTTTATTCCAGCTAGAGGCAGGAGGGATGTCTAATGAGTCACCAGAGGGGATAGTCTTGGCCAAGGGTCTCCAAACTTGGCAACTTTAAGACTTGTAGACTTCAACTCCCAGCATGTCTGGCTGAGGAACTCTGGGAGTTGAAGTCCACAGGTCTTAAACTTGCCAAGCTTGAAGAGCCCTGGTCTTGGCTGAGCTCAAACAATGTTTAGGAAGGCCAGACCTGGTTAGTCCTTGGTTGGGAGATCACCAGGTACAACAGGGCTATAGAGACAGGTTGGGAAGTTGAACAAGCATCGCAAAAGAAGAAAGACAATGACATTCTGTATTGTGGCTAAGGAACGTACCTGGGACTAGAGCCACCAGATGTGAAGTTCATCTCAAAAGAGTTTCTGGCAGTGGTGAAACCCGAACTGGTTTGACACTAGTTTGCTGTGTGCACATGCGCACTGCATGCCAAATGCACGCTGTGTGCGCATGTGCAGTGCACAGCAAATGCGTGCGCTGCATGAGCACACACATGTGCAGTATGCGCCAAAAGGAGGCTTGGGAAATTAAGTAGAAGCGAGGGGGGGTATCAGCTGTGGTGCGCAATTTAGCTTTGCTAAAGCAGGATTTCCTGCTTTCTAGCAAAGCTAAACCCCACAGCTAAACAGCTGATTGTTGGAAATACCGGTTCGGAGAAACTGGTAGCTTTTTAAACTGCAGGTTCGTCCGAACCGATAGCTTTTTTTTAAAACTACCGGTTCGCCCAAACTGGTAGTTTTTATCGCTACCGGTTCGTGCAAACCGGTAGCATTTCACCCCTGGTTTCTGGATATTAGCGAGTGAGAGAATTCTCACGCATGGAGAAATGCACTGGCCTCAGCAGCAGGGACCAAACACAGGCAGACAGAGGTGGTTCCAGAAGAGGAGATATTTGATAAATAGATCTGTCCTGGTTAAGTACACTCCACAATATCTGCCCTTAACTACTTGAGATTACTTACAAGAGGGTGACACCAATTAAGAGGAAGAAGAGCTTATGGGTTTCTAGGAGGAGTTCAACTCAACATTCCCTCTTGAAGCATTGCTACTTCCACACACCCAACAAAAGTCTGACTGTTCACCCAAGATTTAAGAAAGGACCCAGCTGTAGATCATAGCTGCATAGCTTTCTTAAAATATATAGGTGGAGTGGACATCTTAACTTTTTTGGACTATCCCCTGCAGATACCCTGCTGTGGGTTGGGCCATGGAGTCACCATGGACATCTCTTCTGAAGAACTTCAAGGGCACCATTCCCAAGACAATTAACAGCTTTGATCTCTCAGCTGGAAAGCAATCTTGATCCAATTCCATCCCATGCTTTGGCTTTCTCGGAAGTAGGACAGCTTTTGTTTATTGGCATACAGACGATGGAGGCATTTCTGGACTTTCAGAAGAAAGACATTCTCAGCTGTAAATGCTCTGAGCGAGACTTTGTCAACAGATCTAAGGCTTCCATGATCCCTTAGAGCAGTGTTTTTTCAAACGGGACCACTTTATGATGGATGGACTTCAA